CTCAGCAGGGATTTACCCAGCAGCCCAGGCGGGCAAGGGGTCACGACATTTGTCACAACTCGGTGTCCATCACGGCGCCCCGCGGAGTGGCACCGGGGCTGAGGAACCACGGCTGGCAGGGCGGACCCGTGCCGCGGTCCGTACTGGAGACCTGGGCGACCCCTCTGTAAGCAAGACACTAGAGTGATGCGGGGAAGCGTTTTCCCGTGTTGCCGAGGGTGAGAAGTGAGGATACCAAAAGGTTTGTAGCCAGTTAAGATGTTAGGGATGCTTCCACAGCCTTAGGAGGTTTAGAACTGACACGCCACACTACTGCTGTGTAACAGAAGGGGATTAGACATGCTACCTGGGGAAGATAAAAGCTTGAAGGTACCTATTTAGATAGGTACAAACTATTTAGAAGATAATGTTTGAAGGTACCTATTTGCAAACATGGGGATTTTGAACTGCTAAGAGTTAAACAGCACCTTATAGTTGGCAATGATGAGTATTAAGTGCATCTGGGAACTGTTCCCAGATGACTGCAGTTAATACTGGTGCAAATCTGAGCTGTTTCCACTTTTGACATGCTACATAGGCATAATATGTACTGCCACAGAGCACTGCAGGTTTGGAAGAAGTTTATGATGCAGCAACTTTGAAGTGTCGTTTGCTCAGATAAAACTGAGAGGTGTTTGAATAGAAAGCCAGATGCTAGTCATTAACATGTAAAATAATTGTACATATTGATAGATGATCCAGACGTCACTTACAATCTCTTTGAATGGTCTTAAGCAGTAAAAGACTAAAGTTAGGAGAATCAAGCCTCTAGAACACATGGAGTGCATTTGAGATGCACACACCTGTGTTTTGTTTAGTTTCGTTCTAAATAGCACAGTGCAAGTAATTCAGTTCATACTCAAATAGAAATAATATGCATGTGATTAATACACATACATAATTTCTTACCTTAACACACCATTTTTGACCTTTTACAATCACTATTGGTAAGTTACAGAAGCTAAACACGTGCTACCCTCTATACACCTAAAAAAACCCCAAACCCACAAAGTATTCATACGGGTTCCAAATAGTTATTTTCTACCTCCAGTCCCCAAATAGCAAACAAATGTTTTGACAGAAGATTTGATGAATTCACTCACCACTTTTTTCTTCACCTCCTTGTTTTCTTTCATCACACCGTTGCTTTGCTGTTTGTTCTCCATTCTGTTACTTTGCTAGGTAATAGCAGAGGGAAAAAAAGGAGAAGTTGTGCTACTGTTTAATCGGGGAAAAAGCAACAGTATCAGGCTCTTCAGTAGACATGCTGTCTCTACTAGGACAGGAGCATCAGACCCACTGCAACTGCAAAAGAAGTTTAGTCAGTCAGGTGGAACATTGTTATGGCTGAGTTCCAGTTCAGATGTTTGGATTAATTGGTGGTGTGATTCTAATTATTATGAGACCTTATACTAGCTGGGTCATTGCCTGAACATATTTTGCAAAGGAGATGTCCTTTTACGTATTGCTCTGTCAAGAAAATTCTTGCCGGAACATCACCCTATGTCCTTTAATAGTATTAAAGGATATTTTAATCTTAATTTATTAAGAAACTAAACTGATTTCTGGTGTTTCAGAGAGGATATGATATTTACACGGTGTTTCATTGTATGACCTTGGGCAGTCTGCCGGTTTGTTCAATTTATTTGGAGTATGGATCACTGGGTTCTTCTGCTTCAAGTGCTGGGTTGACAGCACATTTCAAGATTTTTGCTTACGTGGCCATTATGGTAATAATAGATCCAGTCCTGAATGTAAGTTGTCTTCCTTGTAGACAAGTTTCTATAAGACAGTGAGCTATGACACATGGGGAGTAACAGGCAGTTTAGCGAAACAGCGCATAGCAGTGAAAATTGTGTTGTGGCCATCACACATACAGGAGGTTTTTCACATGAAATCCTGTGGCATAGGAGTACTGCCACTGGCAGTCCTCCTGTGAGACACTGGCAGTACTGAGGCCATTATATCTGATGGTTCCAAGAAATCAGGCTGAGCTTTTAAGTAAGAGAAACTAGAGATGTGACAGCATCCTATAAGCGCCAAAGCCGGAAAAGTTACCTTCTTGCCTCTCTACCTACCTGTGCAGTGCAATGCACAAAAAACTCCTTTCTCTCTACTGCAAAGGGCCTTAGTCAATTCCTGTTAAATTATTCTTCAAAAAGGGCTTTCAAGTCAAATGTATTTCACTTAATAGGAAAGATGCTTAGTCTCATCATCAAACAGGTCACCTGTCTCTTGCCACATTTAACAAGAAAATAATATCAAGACCTGTTCAATGAACCTCCCACATCCTATACAGATTTCATACATAGACAATGTAGATAATTAAATTAATGAAGGTTCTGACGGAGCACAAACAAAGCATCATCAAACTGGAATTTAAGAGCTGACAAGACAAAGTATGTGGGGCATAGCTCTGAAACAGAAACAACACAGGCTCAGTATGAAACAATCTGTTAAACATCTAGGGAGATATAGCCTCACAGCTAAGCCACTAGCAGGGATAACTTGTGTCTGTCTTCCCTCTGCATTTATTTTTATATGACTGAATCTTCTCAGAACATCTTTAAAACATTTTAAGATATGTCTGTTGGGACTAGAAAGTTTAATTGCTAACAGTGGAACTGTTCAGACTGAACTATCCCTTCTGTATTTCAGGTAACCCTTGTTTCACTCTTTGAACATATTTCTACACTTGATTGTAGCAAAAGGACTGTTCCCTCATCCAGAACAGACATTCTACATCATGCAAAAAAAAAAAAAAAAAAGGAAATCTGGACTGGGGAGGGAGTAGAAATTGCTGAAATCCTGCATGGATTTGTCAAGGTTATTTTTGCATTCTATTAACGTGTGTGCAGGGAAGAGAGATGTGATTACAGAAAGCAGAAACTTGATCTTCAGACTGCAATGTTTGACAAAATCTAAGGAAGTGATGATACACTTAGGGGAACAAAAGGCTGAAATTTGCTCTGCTGCTGCTGCTGTTAAACATTCACTGAAAAATTTTAACAGATAGTGTGGAAAAATGTATTCTTTTTCCCTGAAGTTCATATTGCTAATACCAGGTAAGTTGCTAAAGTTGTTGATCCAGAAATATTAATTCATTATTTGTTCTTTGTCAGAGCAAATTAG